TTACACCCTTTTGGATAATCATATAAGCGCTACCTTGCATACTTTAGCCATGTAGATCTAAAGTTCGTTTGACCAATAAATCTAAACTTAAGTCTAGAAAACGCACGAAATTAAAATAAACCACCAATGCAAATGAAAGTAATTTTATCTTTATGCAAGTATACCACTTACAAAAGGTATTGGAGAAATGTCCAGAAGTTATATATACACAACCTACCAAAAACTAATGCTTACTGAAATAGATAACTTATTAAACTACAAAAATATAAAAACTCAAAAGCAAACCAAGTGTTGCTACTTGTTACACAGCATAGAAAATTACTATGAGCTTCTAAATTAAATCTTAATTATTGAGAAATATTATTTTCACTTTAGAAATTATCTTTCAAAAAAAACCATAGTTAGATTTATTCTGTTTTGAAACAATTAACCTGGTATCAGTCAATATATTCTTAATACCATTTTCTAATTTTTCTCTACAAATTAATATTAATGTTTCTTTCTAATTATTTTTTTAAAAAAAATTAACTTCTATAAAGAGTAGACATTCATAGAACTCCAACCCAACTAAAACCCTTTACAGACTGAGAACAATATTACTTTTCAGAGGGGATGAACACAATGGTTTTCTTATATTAATGCCATATATAGATTTAAGCTGTACTTTACCATGGATGTCTATTAAGAAAGGAAAAATTATAAGTTTAAATTTTTAATTGTGAGGGCCTAAGATGCTATATACTAATATTAGCATAGTGGGATTTTGGTAGCCGTCAGATTGGTTTCAATCCAGACTACTTGCTCCTGTATATAAGCTAGGGTTTTTGGGCTAATTGATATGCACATTTCTGTATTCCCTTTCCATATTCCAAACACTCACATTAGTGGAGGTGAGGGGCATCTTTGATTGTCCCTAAGGAGTGTTTGAATTTGGGATTTTGGTTTAGATCTAGCTTTTGCATCGTCTAGATCTAGCTTTTTCCATTTCCTTTCTTTTGTTCTTCCCTTTCAGGATTTTGGTTTAGATTTAGCTTTTTGCATTGTCTAGATCTCCCATTTCCTTTTTGTTTTTTTGTCATTTCTCTTCTTTTGCTCTTTCTTTGTCTGTCTTTATGGCAGATCAGCAATCTCCTCCATTAACTCTAGAGCAGCAGTTGATCCAATTGCTTGATGTTATGCGCTTGCAATTGAACAACCGAACTCAATTGATGGCAGCATTCACGGCACGTGGTCCAACTCCTCCTGCTCTTAGTGCCAATCCTCGCGTTCGGCCAGAGTTCTTTCGAGGGAATCCTAGGGATGATGTGTACCATTGGTTTGATCACTTTACAGTGATTGCCACATATCATTCATGGGATGATGCTCGACGTTTGCGTGAGTTTCCCACGTGTCTCCAAGGGACGGCATTGCAGTGGTACAATGGATTGAGTGCGGCCACTCATGGGGATTGGAGTGTTCTTCCAAACGTCTTCAAACGCACCTTCGGACATGCTGATGATTGTGACGATGCCTTCCAACAATTGCATCATCTTCGTCAAGGGCCATTTGAGTCGGTGATGCAATTTGGCGTTCATTTCCGAAGTCTTTTGCTTCATGCGGAGCCCAATATGTCAGAGCGGATCAAGCTAGGAATGTTGTGGCTAGCACTTCATCAAGATCTTGTCAGCCTTGTGCATGCACTTGCTCCTGCCACTCTTGACAATGCTCTTCGCTTGGCATAACGTTATGAGACATCGCCTCTTCCACTTCTTGCTGCACGTCCTTCCGCTCCACTTCCTATGAGTGATGGTCTTGTTCCAATGGAGGTTGATGCTGCTACTGTTTGCGTCCAAGGACAAGGGCGAGGACGTGGACGTGGCCGTGATGTTCATTGCTGGGTGTGTGATGAAGTTGGTCATACTTATTGGCGTTGTCGGTGCTTTCCAGATTGGCGACCTCCATTTCCTGGATGGAGACCTTGGCGTCAGCAACGTCCCATTGGTGTTGTTGCAGTTGAAGGTCTGGACACTGAGATGCATCCGGAAAACGAGGAGTCACATGAGTAATGGAGGGACCTTGCGCAAATAAGTCAATGACCCCTTCATTTTTCTTTCGGGAGTATTATCAAGGGGTTCACTTAGCACCAGTTCATCTAGTGTTTACTTTCCAAGCTCGTTTTTATAACAAGAGGTCTTCTATTATTCTTTCCATGTTGGTTTATACATGTTCGAGTTTATCTTCTATTGCTCAACCTCCCTCTTCCTCACACTGCTAATCTCTTGGATCGTCTAGGGCGAAGTCATTGGTTCACCAAGCTAGATCTTGCTTCTGGGTACTGGCAAGTACCGATGGCCGAAGAAGATATTCCTAAGACTGCTTTTCATACACCATTTAGTTTGTACGAGTTCTTAGTGATTCCGTTTGATTTGAACAATGCTCCAACAACTTTCCAGCAGATAATGGACAAGGTTCTTTGTGATATGCTAGAGGTGACTACTAACTTCATTGATGATGTCTTGATTCACTCGGAGGGGATGTGGGAGGAGCACGTTCATAATGTTTGTAAAGTGTTGGATCGGCTATGCGATGTTGGTTTAAAGCTGAAGCAGTCGAAGTGCGTGTTTGGGTCCAAGGATACAACTTATATTGGGTACTGTATTTCTCATAAGGGTTTGCAAGTTGATCCTGACAAACTTGTGGCTGTTTTAAAGTTTCCTACTCCGAAGTGTGTGAATGATGTGCAGCGCTTCTTGGGCAAGGTGCAGTATCTCGGTCGTTTTGTGGATCATCTTTTTGATTGCACTACACCGTTGCGAGCATTGCTGAAGTCATCAACATCATCTTTCATCTGGTCTTCAGATTGTGAGCGGGCGTTCAGGGATCTCAAAGAGCTATTGACGACTCCTCCGGTTTTGGCATATCCTAACTACACTTGACCTTTTATTTTGCGTGTGGATGCTTCTGACATTGGTCTTGGAGGTGTGTTGATGCAAGAGAGCTCGAGTGTGTCTGGTCAGCGCCATCCTATTATGTATATAAGCCATACATTACAACTAGTGGAAACTACTCCATGACAGAGAAGGAGTGTTTAGCAACAGTTTGGGGTTTCGAGAAACTTCATGCATATCTACATGGTTCTCAGACGTTACTTGAAGGTGATCATGCTGCTGTTACTTCATTATTAAAGTAGAAAAACCTAGTTGGTCGTACTACTCGATGGGCTTTGAAACTTTAGATATATGATTTTGATGTTGTTCATCGCCCAGGGAGTTCTATGGCTGATGCTAATGCCCTTTCTCGAGCTCCTCTTTCTTCTCCATTCTCTTCTCATGTTTCTGACGAGCCTGTTGTTCCAGCCTCTGTGGATTTTCTAGACGAGGATTCTATGCCGTCGGCAGTTACTGTACTTGACGTTCAGTGTCCACAAGGCGCAGAGCAAGATCTACCTTCTCTTGATGAGGTTCACGAGGCTCAAAAAATTGAGCCGTGGATTCGAAGGCTTCGAGATGGGTTTGAAAATCCTGCATCACTTGCTGATGACTTGCCTTTCCGGCATTTACATTCTCAATATCACCTTGAAGACGGGCTTCTTTATTTTGTGGGGACGGATCTTAATAATCATTTACGGCTGGTGGTGCCTTCTATTTTTATTCCGCGGTTTCTCCATGCCTACCATGATTCTTCTGTTCTAGGAGGGCATATAGGACATCATCATGTAACCGAGAAGTTGCGCAGGTCTTTCTATTGGCTGGAGATGGGACGTGATATTATCTGGTATGTGCGTAGCTGCGTTTGGTGCCAAGCTCATAATACTCCCCCTCAAGCTGCAGAAGGATAGTTGGGGTTAATTGTAGTTTCCTGTCCGTTTGAGTTGGTGGCATTTGATCTTATGGGACTTCCACGGTCAACTACTGGCAATGAGTATATTATTATTACTTCTGAGTACTTGACTTGTTAGGTGGAAGTTGGTGCTCTTGTGAACGCCTTTGCAATTGCTGTTGGATACTTCCTCCTCAATCGAGTGGTGTTCCAGCATTCTTGTCTAGAGCGGATTCTTTTGGATAATGGTCCCGCATCTATGGCTGAGGCATTTCATGTTTTGACGTCTCAGTTGGGGATACGCCACACTTTCACAAGTGCTTATCATCCACAATCAAACGGTCTGGTGGAACGGCTCGTTCAGACATTCAAGGGGATGATTGCGAAGTATGTGAACTTTCAGTATTCGGATTGGGATGGTTATTTGCCGTCTCTTTGGTATGCATATATCACAGAGGTGCAAAGTTCTGTTGGTGCTTCACTATATAAACTCCTATATGGTCATGATCCAATATTACCAACAAAGCTAGGTTTACCTTCGCAATTGCCATGAGCTGCGAATGCTAGGTTGTATTTGACGAGCATTCTTCCACTTGTCCGAGCGGAGTCTGCCGAACACTTAGGCCGCGTACAAGTGGGACAACGACAATACAACTCCCATCATCATGCACCTGCAGAGTACAAAGTGGATGATTTGGTGTTAGTTCATTTTCCCCATCTTACGGTACGTGGTTTATCTAAGGGGCTCCTTACACAGTGGAAAGGACTGTATCACGTGTTGTGGCAAGTTGGACCACAAGTGTATGAGGTTCAGCATGACATCTAGCAAGCCGATCCTCCAAAGATTGTGCATGTGCAGTGGTTAAAATGCTTCATACAAAAGGATCAGGAGCAGTTAATACCACTTACATATCCTCCGATGCATCCTCCTAATGTTCCTCTAGATACCGGCCTGTTTACAAGAGAACCTTGATGGTCTTCTATTATTCCAAAAGGGGGGGATGATGTGAGGGCCAAGTGTACGGCTACGATGCTGTATACTAATATTAGCATAGTGGGATTTTGGTAATTGTCGGATTGATTTTAATCTAGACTACTTGCTCCTGTATATAATCTAGAGTTTTTAGGTTAATTAATATGCACATTTCTGTATTCCCTTTCCATATTCCAAGCACTCACATAATTAGATTAGGATTTAACAGTTTTAATAAAAATTAATTAAAATAATTCTGCATTAGGACTCTACAATCTAATTACTTCTTAATAATAATGTATAGTATTACTATATCAAACGAAAATTCCGCTTTTGTTCTTTTTTTGTTCTCTCCAAAGCGAAAAGAAAAAAGGAAACCGGTTCAAAAGACATAGCTACACTTTGCCTTTTGCAAGAAAAACCAAAAAGAAAAAAGAAAATTATAAAGATAAAAAATAGACCAAAACTCACCTGTGCACCACATTTTCCACTCGCCCATAAACTTAGATAGATATCCCTTCCCTCTGTAGGGTCTGCATTAGCGCCTCCTCCTCTTCGTTCAAGAGCTTGACGCAGCTCTTCAAATCGCTCCTGGCCGAGACCATCACCTTGTCACCGCCATCTCTGGACTTTAGATCCTTGAGCACCGCCTCGAGCACCTGGCGCCGGACATACTCGTCCTGGACCTTCTCCAGAATCCCCGGCAAGATCTTCAGCTGCAAAGCTCGCGACGTCGCGAGCGCCGCAACGAGCTGGCCAATCTGTTTGGGCGCCATGGGACTGTCGATGGCGGTCTCGTCCAGCTGCTCGGCTAGAAGCATCAGCCCCGACGCGAGCTGCGCCTCCGTCACCACCCCCTGCGCATGGAGATGGTTGAAGAGCTTGAAGAGGAGCTCGCGCTCCCTGTCGCGCTTCTCCAGCGCCAGTGTCACGGCAACCTGGACGAACTGTGGATGATAGTCCGGAGACTTCATCTCCTGGATGCACAGCGTTGCCTCGGTCAAGTCCATGATGCTGAAGTACTCCTCCAGTAGCGACTCAGACTTCTTGTTCAGTATGCCCGATGATGGAGATGGCGTCGCGGCTCGCTCTTCACTGATAACCGGAGGAGTTGGAGCTGGAGTCGGAGCTGGAGCCGGAGCTGGCTTTGGAGCCGCTGGTGGCGCTTCGGCCGTTGGACCCCCGGTCCCGAGCAGCGGACTAGACTTCCCCAAGAACACCGAACTTGCCTGTGGTAGCACCCTTTGTTGTCTACCCGGGACGCGGCCGGGAATGTTTGCTGACTGATAGGACATCGCTGCCGCCGCTGCCGCCGCTTCTCGCTGCTTACTCTTCTTGGGTCCAGCCATTTCCCAAGGACCATCGGGGTCTATTCCCATTGAACGAGGAGGCCCCCCAGGCGCTCCAGGAGCACCGGGCATGGGTGCACCAGGCATCAACCGACCCGCTGGCATGAACGATGGATCCTTGTTTATGGCACTCCCGGGCCTTCCGTTTCTCGAACGTATCCCGAGTTTCTGCTCTGCTTCCGCGTGAATTTCGTTTATGGTCTTTGCTTTTATCTGGGAAAGATGGGAAGTGTTAAAAGCCTGAAATACAAGGAAACACAGCATACCTCTTCTCGTCTTGGAATCCACTTGTTGCTACGCAGATCCAATACGTCGCGGACCATGAACCGCAATCTCGAAGGCAGGTTCTTGTTGTTACCCAACTCTTTCATTCTCCGGAAATATTCGTCCAGCGACGATCGGGACTTCAAGTTTTCCTCGACTTGCTTTCCAACAGTCGCAAAAAGCTGGCAAAGTGCTTCGATATTTTCTTCAACAGGAATAGCAGTCCGATCCGGTCCAAGTAACTCCTGAAATTATGAAGAAGTTACACGTTATAACCATAATTTCACAACTCACCATAATGCAAGCGTGCACGATCTTCTCGGGGATCATCCTTTGCTTGAAAAGCTCGCCAATAAATCGAATGTTCCCAAGTGTGCGTAGTTTAACCTTTCTTTCTTTGTCCATGCGTTCAAGTTCTTGCTCAGGCGATCGCATTTCTTTCACTTCAGCACGTAATGCAGCGGCGCCTTCAAATTCTTCCTGGCAAGTGTTCAGCAGAATCCGACGAAAGGTCGTAGGCTTCTCTCCCGGCTCGGAAGAAGGAAATTCTTGCAAGGTAGTGCTCAAATGTACACATAGTTGTGAATACATGGGACAGAATGTCGGCTCTGCAACAGCCTTGTCGAAGATTAACGAGATAACTCCCTGCAGCAAGAAAGAAATAGGAAACAATGAACAACAAATATATCGCCGAAATTGAGAGCCTTACCTTGAGCTTCTCAGCAGTATCAATGCCAGCTTGCAACAATTGTTCCAGCAACACGTCATACTTTTCAGGTGTCAACTTGTTCAATATTCTGAGAAAAAAAAAGTGTGAGAATCAACGCAAGAGAATCAGGAAAGCGATGGATACCCCTTGACCGTTCTAAACACCCGCTCCTCCTCAGACTGTGATCCCCTCCGGACCCAAGGATTAGCTGCCTTCACTATTGGAGGAGCTGCCTGCCGGTCGTTCTGGTAATAAACAAGCTCTTAGAGAAGATTTCTGATTTAAATGCCATACCGGAGGTGGCTGTCGCGCATTGAACTGGCTCGACGCTCTCTCTTTGGAGTAATCCACAGGCGACACCTTGTCTTCCGAGGTACTGCGTGTACGCCAATCTCTTTTATCAGTTTCCACCGGTCTCTGGGGCTGGAAAAAAAAACACTCTCCATCTTACAGAGGCATAGACAAAGCCAAACGCATTACCATTGTGTCCAGACGGCTCCATTCTTGTTCCTCGCTCAAGCTGGAATTCACCTCAGCGACCAAGCTCAAAATCTCCGATGTAGCATCGCGACAGATCTGCACAGCGATGATAAATTCCGCGATCGCGCAGCGAGCACAAGTAGCACAGACCTCTTGATACTGCAATAAATCCTCCCTTGTGTACCGCAGCTTTTCCCAATCGGCCTTCCTCGACTCCTACACAAGACAATCGGTCATATCAGGCAGAGAATGCACAGATCGGCGCTGCGATCCAGCTCCCGAGCAGACCTAATTGCGGCGAGCATGCAACAATACCTTGGCTGGAGCGGGTCGGAAGACGAATCCGGAGGGCGTCCTCCCTCCCGGCCCCAAGAATCCTCCAGTTGCATCGCCGGGGGCACCGTTGCTGGTCCCAAACCTCGGAAACCCTCGGCCGCCGCCAGGCCGGAGGCTCACTCCCCCCAAATCTGTGGTAGCGCCTGAGGATCCGACGAGCGACGATGGCGTTATTGACGACACCTCCATAGCTGAGACCACGAAAAAACAAAAACCCTTGCTCTGCAGTGTTTATATTGATGCCCCCCTCTTCTCTCACGATGGACGAAGGGCAGATAACATAACAGGGGCAATAAGGCAATAATGTGAAATCCTTTTTAGGGCACCTTAGAATATCCTCGCGCCGGCGGTGTGAGGTTCGAATCCCATTAAATGCACTTAGGGCTCTTGCGTGAAGACGTTGGAGACGAGAATGTAGCCCGCGCCATTCCGGGGATGGAGATGGAGGACGCGTTTCGCGGCGTCCCCGATCGAGTGCTTGTAGAATCGCGTCGCGGCGAGCAGGCACGTCCAATCCAGCGCGTCGGGCACGAATGGCATGTTTTCGAGGAGATCGAGCGCTTCTTCCAGGTATCCGGCCCTCGCGAGCACATCCACAACGCAGGAGAAGTGCTGCTTGATGGGATTCACCCCATAATCCATCCTCATGCTCAGGAATTGCTCGATTCCCAGGCGCGCGTCGCCGATCTGGCCGATCGCCAGGAGAACGATGATGAAACAGGGCTCTTGCGGCGAGAATCTCAGCTTCATGCGATTGAACTCCGCTAGGGTTTCGTGCGGCCGTTCGTTCTCCGCCAGACCCAGAAGCATCGTCCTCCACGAGATGAGATCCCTCTCAGGCATGGAGACGAAGATTCGCCTCCCGGATTCCAGATGCCCGTTCTGGGCATATGCCGCCACCATGGCAGTCCACGTCACCTCGTTCCTCGCCGGCATTTGATCAAACAAGATCTTTGAGGCTCCGAGATTCCCAGACTGGGAATATGCGGAGCAAACTGCCGTGTGAGAAACCACGTCCTGACCGGGCATTTTTCTCACTAGGGAATCTGCATCTTCAAGTAACCCAGCACGGGCATATGCCGCTGCCAACGCAGTCCACGATTGGAGGTCCCTTTCAGGCATCGAGTCAAACAATGACTTGGCATATTCAAGGCGCCCAGCCTGACAATACGCAGCAACCACAGCCGTCCACGTCAGCAGGTCTTTTGCCGGCATGTTCTGAAAGATCTCGCTAGTCTCTTTCACACAGCCCAATCCACTGTAGGCTGAAAGCATAGCATTCCACGTCAAGAGGCTGTGATAGGCCATGGACTCGAAAGTGCGCCTGGCCTCTATGGTATACCCGCTTTGGGCGTAGGCTGATAACATGGTGTTCCAAGATACCAGGCTGTGTTGCGGCATATTCTGAAACATTGCCTTGGCATCTAGAATTTTTCCGCTCTGAACATATGCCGCCAGCAATGAGTTCCAAGTGACGTGATCTTGTAGTGGCATATTCCTAAACAGTGTCTGGGCCAAATCAAGATGCCCACAGCGGGCATATGCGCTTAGCATCTCATTCCAAGTTATGAGATTGTGCTGTGGCATGGATTCGAAGACAAACCTTGCTGAGTCGGCATGTCCAAGTCGCGAGTATCCCGCCAGCATGGCACTCCACGTAATCAGATCCCTAGCCGGCATTTGGTGAAACGTCCTCTTTGCGTCGGGCATATGCCCACTTTGGGTATACCACGTCAGCATGGCCGTCCACGTGATCAGGTCCCGCTCAGGGAAAGTCTCAAAGAAAGCCACGGCGTTTTCGAGGCAAATTTCTGCAGATAGCATGGCATTCCACGTACTCAAACTCCGCAAAGGCATTCTTTGAAAGAGGCGCTTGGCATCGGAATAATGCCCGTTTGAGGCATTTGCGCAAATCATCAAATTCCACGAAGCCAAGTCTGTCTCCGGATTCCCTTCGAATAACTTCCTGGCCTGATCCATCTGCCCGTTTCGCGAGTACGCCGCCATCAGCAGGTTCCAGCTCGCGACATCGCGCAGAGGCATGCCATCAAACAGGATCTTGGCGTCCCTCAGATGCCCGAAGCGGGTATATGCGGTCAGCAGCGTTTTCCATGCCTGGAGATTCCATTGCCATGGACTGAAGGCTCTAAAGAGCTTGCTCGCTTGCCCTAGATCCCCAGTTCTGCAATGTGAAGCTAGCAGGGATTCCCGGGATCTGGAAGCGGCATCTGGCATATGCTCAATCAGTGTTAAAAGATCAAAGAAGCCGGCATTTTATTCGTCCACGTCACAAATCGTGTGCCTGGGCCCCGTACCATGTGCCATGTGTATGTTGTGCACGCTATTATGCTCTTTTCATTTTTCTTTCCTTCTTTGCAAGTGCTATTTCTCCGTTCCCTGCCACAAGCCTTCCTATCTTCTCATCTTCCATCGATAGTTTCGATTTCGTCACATTCCCTGCGATCTCTGGCTGTTCTTGGTGTTTGCGCGACCGATCGTCTCATCTTCCATCGATAGTTCTTTCGGATCTATCTTCCTCGATTTCATCACAGTCCCTGCGATCTCTGGCCGTGCTTGATCCAGTGGCACCGATCCTTCGTTGTGAGATTCTCGGAGCTCTAAGAGGTGTCATCTCTCACCTCTTAGTTGTCCTACACACATCGCCGTCCTGATGCTTGCTTGCAAGCGCACGGGATCCAGGAGCACCGATCTTTTGTGAGGCTTGCCTTTGATTCTCTGAGCTCTGGGAGGTGTGATTCCCTCACCTCCTAGCTCTGAGAATCAACAGCAAGCCTCACACACATCGGCTGTTCTTTGATCTCGTCTTGCAGGCGCGGGATCCAGGACTTGTGAGGGTTGCCTTTGATTTTCTGAGCTCTCGGAAGTGTGATTCCCTCACCACCGAGCTCTGCACACATCGAGATCTTTGGCTGTTCTTTGATCTCGTCTTGCAGGCGCGCGGGATCCAGGAGCAGCGATCTTTGTGAGGCTTGCCTTTGATTCTCTGAGCTCTGGGAGGTGTGATTCCCTCAGCTCCTAGCTTTGAGAGTCAATTGCAAGCCTCGCACGCATCGAGATCTTTGGCTGTGCTTTGATCTATCTCGTCTTGCAGGCGCGCGGGATCCATGAGCAGCGATCTTTGTGTTGATTCTGGGGGGTGTGACTCTCTCACCTCCTAGCTCTGGGAATCCTCACACATCGTGTATGCATCCCATCGCACTGGATTTTCACTGCATGAGCGTCGATCTAGCGACTTCCCGCTAGAATATTTCTGCAGGAGCCCTAATCTAGGTTTGTGGCGAGCAATGGCGCCCATTGCGAGCTCTGGCGAGCGATTCTTGTGCTGCTGGAGCGCTGCTGCGTGCCATTCGGATTATCTCCAGGTGAAAGATTCGTGATGGGGATTTCTCCTTCGTTCTTCTTCGTGCTTGTCTTAGCTTTGTCTTCCGTGTGTCTGTTTCTTTGCAGGTGAAAAGAGTGAGCTTCAAGCCTCCCGGGACCGAAGCCACCATTTTAAACAACGTGAGCTTCTCGCTTCCCGAAAAGAGGTCTATCAAAGTTTCGAGGCTCGTGACTTTCCTAGGACTGTTCTTGCAGGCTAGGATTGATCACTGGAAGAAGCGGTAGTGGCAAGACAACATTGCTTCAGGTATCTCTCTCTTTGTTTCTTGAGCGTTTTTTGCATTTGGTCCTCACCACTTTCACACACAGATATTAGCCGGCCTGGCGTCGCCCACACAAGGCTCCATCGTTCTAGGCGGCACCAAAGGGGACACCACAGTCAGCCTCACAGCCAAAGTGGGCCTGGTTTTCCAGTTTCCTGAGAGGTTGTACGTCTTTTCAAAGCCTACAAATGAAATTGACAACTTGATTGATCCTCGCAGGTACTTTCTCACGGATTCCATCCTGGAAGAGCTAAGCTTCGGGTGGCCAAGCAAAAAAGAGGACTTTTTCTCCAGACAACTGCTAGCAATGCGCGTGCAAGCCGCTGTAGCTGCCGTAAGAATCTCGTTTCTTCCCTCACTAAGCTTTATGGACGTGCACAGACTGGTCTCGCCAGCATATCTTGGAACACCAATCCTCGAGCTTTGAGCGATGGATTCAAGCGACGATTAGCACTCGCTGTGCAACTGGTAACCTGTGATTTCACCGCTGCTCACGAGGACTACGTTTCTTGTCCTCTTTTTGTTGCAGGTCCGCATGCCAGAGCTGCTGCTGCTGGATGAGCCGCTCGCTGGCCTGGGTATGATGTTGTTTGTGGCCACCTTGGAATTCTTTAATGCTGTGGCTGTAGATTGGCAATCACGATCCGAGATAGCGAAGCTTCTGAACAACTTGAAGAAGGAGAGGACGTTGCTCGTTGTGAGCCATGATCTGCGGTAACTTGCGTGATTAGTGCTTGGATCTTATTTTCTTTCCTCGCAGAGAGCTGATTCGACTGGTGGACAAGGCGTGGGTTATGGATATGGGTGGGACTTTGGTTGAGCAGCTAAATTCTACTCTCTAGTTCGTGGAATGTTACTCTTAAGATAAAACTATACACTGACCGATCAAACCAGTGAGGCTGGCTGGGCAATTAAAAGTTTTTAGTATTGCAACGGACTTCGCAGGCTCAACTCACAACAGCGGAAAGGCTCCTCGAACCGGGCAGCAGCGGAGGACATCCACATGACTAACGCCGCCTCCCAACTCTACATTGTTACACAATGAGCCACCTGAGGTGCCGCTCATGGAACGGGAGCAGTACGAACGATTACATCCTGGTCAGCCAAACTAGTCTTTGACCATGTGGTGTACTAAGAGTTCCTGGCCCCCTCGGGATGCATGTACTGCTTACAACACTCCTGTCGACAAGCAGAACTCGCTGTGGTCACGACCGAGTCATGCCAGCATGGCTGCCCGACTTTGCCCAGCAAGTCCAAGAGCTCTGGAATGCACTGCCCACGACCCCCTGATATTGAGGTCAGCTGACTGATCGACATGCTCACACGGTAGCACAGGAGTATTTCTCAGTTCACTCCCACCGCCCCAACTGGATGCGTTCCTAGATTGCAACGGTGGGACAAAGAATGTGATTGAGCCCTCTGCATGAAAAAGAATTGCTAATAGTCAAGCCATATACGACACCTTCTGTGTTCTTTGCAAAGCTAAGAAACAGAAACACCACTAGAAAATTCCAGAAGCTAAATGATGCTTGATCCTTTAAGTTGCAAATGTTATGACCCAGTGCCAACAAACGAAGTATGTTATGCCTTCTTGAAGTTCTTTCACCCAAATGTGGAAGTGAAACAAAGAAATATGAAAAGAAAAATGATGAGATTATGAGTATGGAACATTTGATATTTCACCCTCATTATACAACTGAGAAGAATATTTTATCTTCCCTCCAAGAGTTAATAACTAGTGTAAGAATGGCAAAACAAAAGGAAAAAAAAAAAGGAAAGAAAAAAGTGAAGGGGAAAATGGACTGTGAAATTCTTGAGGAGGTTATTGATGAACTAGATTTCAAACCTACTTAGTATCACATACCCCAATTAGCCAAAAATATATATATAAAAGAAATGATCATTACACCTGATACATCATCTTGCACTAGAAGAGTTGTTTCTTTTGCATTCTCGATATTTAATACCACTTCTTTTACAATCTCCATAGTAACATATAATACTTTTGCCACTTTTTCACCTTCCTCCATATCTACTTGTGCTATTAGTTTTGTGTCATACAATAAAAGAGGGTTATATGGAAGTTATCTAGTTCTGGCCATCAATCTTCTTCCTAAAAAGAATAAAGAATCTGGAATAAGAAAATCAAAATTATTAAATTATATATATAAATCCCACACTCAAAAAGCTACTTTTTACATTTTGGATCACCTAAGGTTGTAAAAGAATTTATTTAAAATAAAAGACAGTTGTTCCAATAAGAAATAGCCATAGGTGACAAATGACAAAGTTAAAGGATGAATTTTAGTGTTGAGATAGTTAACAAGCAGACTAATGTGGTAGAATTGCCATGCTGGTTAGAGGGGGAAGGACATCTAGTATAGTGGCACAAGGAGCTCATAGAGGACATAGACTAGGACTTAACAACATGGAGATTGAAGTTAATGGCTTCTTCATGAAGGAAATAAAGGATGTGCAAAACAGACTGATGGTAAATAAGGAGTTTGAGAGAGAAGAAGTACCCAAGCTATGTCAAAAATGAATTGCACTAGGGGTGGAAGTGAACTAGGTGATAGAAAACACAGTGGCATTCTAGAAGTCACTGATCCAAGAGAAATCAAAAGGTACTTTTTATCTTGTGGCAATGAATAGATTGCCAATAGGACAATGATTCCAAGTAGAGGATGCCTGAAAATGTTTGGAATATATCACATTTGAGATAATAGCACACCTCCAATGGGAGTGTGATGTGACAAAAGAGACATGGAGAATGATAGCTAAAGTGACTAAGGAGCTTTGAAATCAAGCAAGATTTTGAAATCTACAAAGGGGATGTCACTCAATGGTTCCCAGAGGCAAGGAGGTCAAACATGGGATTGGCTTGGCAAAAGATTGGTTATTGGGGATGTTCAGATCGAGGCACTAGAGATCAATTGGGATGCCATTGGAGTAGAGATTGGACTACAATCTAGGAGGCCAGGGGATAGATTAGGTGGGAGATATGGCATGTATCCGGGGCTTAAGCACTTTTGGGAAGCTCAAAACCAAAGGCATTTTGAGGGACAGAATGCTCAGATTTTGGTGATCATAACAAACTAATGAGGGCTCATGTTGGTAGCTGTCCGTCTCAGGAAATGCTGTCGCAAGAATATGGCAAAAAGAAGGTGCCTAATACTTTGGCAATGGCAATGAATCCCTTACTATAAAGGGAAATATGAGGGAGGTATCAAATGGAAGTGGAGACCACTAGATATTGTAGTAAAGGAGGCAAGATAAGATGATTTGGCATTAAACCCTTTGCGAAGGAGACAACCACAACAACCTCAATTGGAAGGCAGCAACCACCAATAGGTGGGAGATAGTGAAATGTTATAGTTGAGAGAGTAGCACCATGAAAGTATCTTTTTTATAACAGTCCCTAAGGGACATTGAGATATATATAATGCCCCAATAAAAAATAGCCCAGACCAATCCATGTATATGTGCCATTATTGCTAGGAGATGGCAATCCATATTAATGCCCAGCCGGTGGAGCTTCATATGGGGGATGAGTATGTGATTTATGATTATGATAGTAGTGAATTAGGTACATTGGTGCAGGTGAGCTTTTGTCATATTGAGAGGCTATAAACATTTTATGTTATACAAATTGATTAATCTAGTGTTTATAAATTATAAACATATTTATAATTATAATGATTCATAACCATGCTATAATGAGGTCCACCAAGTGCCAATTCACCTAATCCCGAGGCAATATGCAAAAACCATTGCCATCCAATGCAAATATAGAAGGTGATCTGTTAGTAGGATGTTTTAGAAAAGAGACAAATTCATAAGCTTGTGGCTGTATTGGAAGCCTATTGGATGCATAGGTATTTGTAAATGGCTTATCAATGTAATAGCTAGATCATGTTAATTCTTCCTAAAGGACTTCTAACTAATATCAAATTGCTAAAATTCTATGCTTGAGTGCCTTTGTCTAGGCATCACACCAATGCTATGATAGCCATTTAACACTAACCAGCCCTAGAATGTTCAAAAGATGAGCTCTTGCCTTGAGATAGAGCACTACAACTAGAAATCCAAGCAAGAAATCCTTGAAAGGTAAATTATACCTCCTAAGCAACTTTTACATTTCTTCCTTGCTCGTCCTTCAAGAGGATTATTTCCTTTGTTATCTCTGAGGGAGATAACACTACAGAGAACCCAAAGCTTTTGGGTTTTTAATGGAGTGAATGTTGCTCTTGCTACATGATGGTGTGGTGCATATATTAGAGGCTAAAAGCTTTAACAAGGAAAATCCAACTTTGAGAAGGACCAAATAAATATTTTTCTCCATTTTGAGGTTATTAATTTAGCAACTTTGAATGGTGGGAAAGAATTTGAATTTTTTAATTGATTTTCTTATCAAAGCAGTGATATATATCCCTATGTGGCATGGCAGTGGAGGAGGAGCCTTGTGAGGTGGACACCCCAAACTCAAAGGTGAACAATTCATACATAATAGTTCTTTGTGATATAGTGATTTCAAGTGAGGACATGGAAGTGCCACACAATAATTTCCATTAAAAGGATGCTTTAGGCAGTGAGATGGAGGTGCCACACGATTATCTCCACTAGTTAGAGGTTCCATGCAAGTTAAGAGAGAGTACTTATGTTTTTGTGATCAATTCTAATGATCTTCACCTTGAAATATCACCATGTGTTCTGATCTAGGTTATTAATTCAAAGTGTATACAAATCAAAAGCATATTCATAAATAGTATTCTAAAAGTGGAATATATAACACCTAGATGTTAGATGTGAATAGTAAAAGATAAGGGAGTTCTTATAGGGAATCTAGCTTTAATTGAAAATATAGAAAAACTATATACTAAAAAATAAGAATTTTGAAATATTTTGCTATTATCTCTCTCTAATTTAGAGCTCAAGCGAGAGATTACACATTATTTAATCTAGGCAATGAGTGCAGACACAAAGTCTATTTGTCCTCAATTTACCTCCAATAACACAAAAATGGATTTCAAAATCTTATTGGATCACTCAACTTAATTATTGGTATATTGGTGGCAACAATTGCTAGAGAAGTGTTATTAGAGTTTAAGCCCCTATAAAAATTGCTTGATGACATACCCTTAACTAGATATCAAGGTCACGAGAATACCAAATTGACATATGATGTGATCATATAAGAACTCTACTATAGAATGTTAATTTGTTATCTTGAGAGCAATAGCCTCCACCCATTTAGTATTGCCAATAATAAATAATAGTGCATATATAAAGATGTTGGAATAAAATTCAAGTGTAAAATAGACCTAAAGAAGTAATGAGATAAAAAAGAGGTTTGGGAGTGTTATTTAGAGGATTGAACTGTTAGCAAGTCATGCATCTAACAACATATAATAGCATATGCTAGACTAATAGAAACTACTAGAAAGAATGGTCTATGCTGTTGTTAATCCCACAAAATAACTACCACAAGTATAATTGTTCCTAAAAATTATATGCTTTGATCTCTAAAGCCTATTGTTATGTCACTAGCAGTTGTCAAGAGTTTATTGTTGTCAAGTTACTGCACCACATCTAGTAAAGATGTAGAGTGTTGTTACAACAAAGTACTAGTTGGGATTAACTATCACAAAGCAAAGGTGACGTAAAATTCTTAGAGGAGCATAATGCAAGAATAGATCCTTATATTCAACAAAACATTATTTAAAAGAAAAGCTAGCATATAAAAATAAATATAAAAAATATAGGCACACAAAGTAGAAAGTAGTAGAAGCACTCTAAGGTGTAAACTATAGGTATGGCCTTATGCTCTGTCTTAACAAAATTACATACTGATGTTTTAAACAAATAAGAGGTGAAGTGCAATGCAAGCATCATCATGATTCGGCTAATAGAGGCAAATACTAAAGGCCAACCAATAAA